GATCTCAGGAATAAACACTTGGGGTTTTTACCTGGAGAATTTTTTCTTCCCACCTTTCAATGCTACTGACACTTCTGTCCTGAGCTCAAACATCAGTGAAATGAGGACACCTTTTTAAGATCCATGGACAGCAGAGTGACATGAATGCAGAAATAACTGTATTTAAGTCATGGTGTCACCCAGAACCTTGTTATAACGGGATTTAGGCATGATGCAGAAATGCACTGGAATCTCATCCAGACATATTCACTAGGGAGCCTCTCAGCTGCACTGAGTGTTAGAAAGCTTAGGGCTTTTCTAATAAAAGGGAGCGAGGTTAACATTTATAGTCTATATCATCAGGACTTCCCTGGTGGCACGGTGGTTAAGAATCCGCCTGCCAGTGCAGGGGACACGGGTTTGAGCCCTGGTCCGGGAAGATCCCACGTGCCATGGAGCAACTAAGCCCGTGTGCCACAACTACTGAGCCTGCACTCTAGAGCCCGTGAGCCACAACTACTGAGCCCGCATGTCACAACTACTGAAGCCCACGCGCCTAGAGCCCGTGCTCTGCAACTAGAAGCCACCGCAATGAGAAGCCCGCCCACCACAGCGAAGAGAATCCCCACTCGTCGCAACTAGAGAAAGCCTGCAATGAAGACCCAACGCAGCCCTAAAAAAAAAAAAAAAAAGAAAGAAAAAAAAGATACCATTACTCTATATCATCTCTCTCTCTCTCTCTCTCTCACTCTTCCTCTCACTCTCTGGCTCTCTCTGCCCTCCTGCTCCCCCGTCTTCTCTTCCCTTCTTTCCAGTGCCCAGAACTCTACACTCTTACTCTTGTTTCTACTGAGAGTTTCTCAGATTTTTTTTAACAGCTCTATGATCATTTCCTTCTCTCCATTTTCAATAGTTATCTTTTGATCAAATGCCATATTCTTTGCTATCTCCCTGAGCAGGTGAAAACACTTGTCTTGGTTCAGTTCAGTTCAGCAATCCTTATTTTCAGCTCCTTGATCGATGCCGGCCTTATGAGATCTCTAGCGTCACCCCTAAATCTAATGGATTGCTTTGCACGTCCTGGGGACGTGGCCCTTCAACTTTCAAATGGTTGATCATACCCATGTATCGCTTCTCCTATTATTTATATATTTTTTCATTAACTTGGCCCACTTTTCTTTTTTTATTGACGTATAGTTGATTTACAGTGTTGTGCCATGGCCCACTTTTTAATTCAAAAGAATTTATGGAAATGGGTACCACTAAACAATGAGTGAATTTGTGGGTTTGATAGGCTAGTGATGGAAGCTCAATTCCTACCTTTCGAAATACTAAAAGTGTGTATGTGTGTGCGCGCGCGCGCGCGTGTGTGTGCGTGTATGTAGTGTGTCCTCAGGTAGAAGGGACCCAGGTGATGACTTTTGTGACCCTCCTTGCTGACTCAGAAACCCCCTGTGTCCTCTGTCGTGTGGCCATCTGCACTGGGCCTGAGCATGAAAGGAGCATTTCCCCTGCAGGGCTGGGCTCCCGAGTAAGATGATTCTTCTTTGCACTCAGCCCAAAGGAGCGTTCCTGGTTTTGAACCTTAGCTTCTAGCTCACAGCATCTTCTTACAAATCCACTGCCTCCAGCACTTTCCGGGTGTCCATGATCAACACTCTCTCTCTCACTTCAATCTTCTCTTCCCTGAAAAGTTTAAGAGGAGCTAATTCTAGGTAAGGGGGATTGCTAGTTACAGGGATCCTGCAGGTCTTTCAAATTCTCTGTGCTTTGGCAGGACTGGGAGACGCCAGAGGGCTCCACCATCAGGTGGGAGGGATGGGGACCTTGGACGAGAAAGAGGAGAAGGAGTGGAGAAAGCAGAGTATGTACAAAAGGTCAGTCGTTCTGGTACCCACGCTGTTATAGTTGCTGGGTTGCTCTGGTCCACTGTCAAGGCTGAGGATAATGGGGGCAGGAAGATTTGGAGAGCAGCCTCCCCTTACTTTCCTTAAAAGTAACCAAAGCCAGAAGCTTATTACTCTGCCCGATAAAATGAAAAAGAAATAACTGGTTTAGACCTATTAGAGGGGACCAAAGTGTCTAAGACATGTCCCAGGTCTTCTCAGGATGGCCCTAGACCTATTTATTGTGCACTATTTTTTTAACACCTTTATTGGAGTACAATTGCTTTATAATGTTGTGTTAGTTTCTGCTGTACAACAAAGTGAATCGGCTATACATATACATATATCCCCATATCCCCCACCTCTTGCGTCTCCCTCCCACTCTCCCTATCCCACCTCTCTAGGTGGTCACAGAGCACTGAGCTGATCTCCCTGTGCTAGTGCACTATTTTTAATGAGATCAAACGAGCAAGCCACACACTTCCTTTAAATAAAATAGAACCTTGCGTGCCTTTTTATGAACCTCTTTAATCATCATTTCTTAAAAAAAAAAAAAAAAGTGGAGCACGGGGGACATTTCCAGTCATCAGAACATACCAGTATCTAAAAGGAGGTAGGGGTAGCAGCTTGAAACAGCACATTCAAGATTATAATATACTTCTGGCCAGGATGAATCCTGCACCATAAGCTTCAGAGTGCAGGAAATATTCATAGTCTTTCTTGCCTTAAATCAACTTAAGGCCATCTATGAGCCCTTGGTTTGCTGCCCTGATGGGGCAGTCTAGTTCATCACTGTCCCCCACATACATATACCACCCATGCAGCAAGATTCCAAAGCTGCCATCAGACACAGAGTAAAGTACTCCAGAAGCTACCTTCCTGGAAAGAGGACAGAAATGTGCTGTGTAAACAAAGCTAAAACTTCGTATTTCAGTTAGCTTTTCCGTCACCGAATTGCCTGTTTGGAGCTGCCTCCTTAAAATCTTATCGTCATAATACGAACAGTGGGAAAAATATATAAATGTTTTTGGCTAGTAGGGTGGCTTGATAAGGGCAAAAGGGACAGATTTCTAAGCCTTGACACCAGGAAACTCAGGACTTAAAGTTATTGACGTAACTCTGTTCATCCAAACCTCACCCAGTGGGAAGCAAAAACCCCAAAAGGAACCGAAAGCACGAAGGGACTTTTTTGGAGCTTTGCTCCCTGAATGGAATTTCTCTTTCCACCTTAGTCTGGATGCTCTCCTCTGAGTCCCTTTGCTCTCTCTACTTGCCTTGTTCTCGCTGCTTTTCATTGGTCTCAACCAATGCAGACGTTCTCTATGGGTTACTCTCGCCCATTCTTTGTCCTTATCTGTGGGCTCCTACTGCCTGTACCTTCAGGAAGCTTCTACTTCCGGTTATACAAAAAGCTATGAGGCAAGGAAGAGACACCAATCTGACCTACCCATAGGACAGCACAAATTAATAATTCAATAAGTCATTGTCATTTTACAAATAATTCAATAAATTATTGTCATTTTACAGAGAAGGGAACACTCAATAAATGGCAGCTAATAGCTGTAATGTGTTTGATTTTAGCTAGGCTTAGTAATGTCCACATATATTCTCCCCTTGGGTGAGTGCTGATGAAGATAGTTTTCCTTTCTGTGTATTTTCTTTTTTTCTAATTTCTCCATCCCTTCTCTACTCTCCTTCATTTCCCAAATTAAAACAAACAAAAAAAATGTCCTAAACTAAGTCCTAACTCCCTCCATTTGCATCCTCTATCCAGAGGCTACCCTAGGGGAAGGGTATAGACTGATGTTTGGGTTCATGGGTTATCTGAGGATTTGGAAGAGGTCCAGCCTGTTTAGCCCCTGCCTGCTTCTCTATTTGAAATGGTATAAACTCAAAGTTTGGAAAAAGAGGACTTGAGAAGGAGTGGATGGAGCTACACACACAAGAAGGAAATAGGTTGTTCCCTGGGTGAATAAAGAACGTGTAGGTTTGCTCTTTCATTTCATTAAGGGGGAAAAAAAAAAACCCTAACCCACAGATTATAATAAATGTACTTGATGCAATTATAATAAAACCCAAGTTCATCACTGATGGAGATTAATACCCTGCCTCAAAATTGTAATTATTTGAAATTCGAAGGGAAGGAAATTAAATAACTAGTGTCTTTCCTATTTTCTAGTAAATTGCCTCAATTTGATCAGAAATATGGTTACATTTTTCTTTGTTATCTAATCTATAAAACAACAAATATGATTCCACTGAATTTATTTGAGGTCCCTCGTAATAAAAATAATGATATGATTTAGAAAATACCCCCCCAACCCCACCCATTTCTTTTAAATTGTGTTTATTCCAAGTCATTTTCAAAACATTGCTGCTAATATCATACCATGGTTGAATAACTAACTCTAGATCAAGTTAGGTAAATTTAATTATGGCCCCATAATGGGAAACATCCTCCTCTTCTCTAAAAGTGAAAAGCTTAATAAAGTGGTACCATTTAACAAACAATTCCAAATTGGACAAATAATTCTAAATCAGGTAACTGTTTTGGGGAGATGGAGGGAATAAAGAGTTGAAAAGAATAAGAGTTGAATGCTCAAGTTGGTCTGTATTTTGTTAGGAGATATTTCTTGCTAAAATCATCAGTGGGGGAGAGAGAGAGAGAAACGGGGTTTGGGGGAAGAAATATCTTTCTGGGGCTGTAGTGATCAACAATTAAATGTATTTACAAGAAAACATCCAAAACATCAGCCATGAAAATATATTTTCACCCTCTACAGCTGGTAACTACAGCTGTCATCCTACATATTATATTGAAAACACATAGACCATACTGAGAACTTCAGAGAGGATTTCTTTTTGAAGGAGGGTCTTTAATTTGACATGGGAAAAATGTCATCTTTTGGGGGAAGGTGTTTTGTGTTTATTCTGAAGTTAATCAGGGAGTTAATTCCACTCACTCAACAGCACGACAGCTATCATGAGTAGAAGGCCTTCAGTCCTCCAAGCCTTTGGACTCTTTCTCACAGGAAGAGGAAATGGGCGGCACCCAGTAGAGAAATTTGCAGCAAACTTGTAAAAAGAATGACTCGGGAGGAAACAAGGATGGCATGCACGTTAATGAATACTTACATAAATGTCTGCACCATAAAATCCATCCTGGTAAACAACACTGCAAGGGTGCACACACAAAGAAAAACATCCATATTAGTGCATTTCCCCATGCAGACACACCAACCCCTGCACTGGCGAAGTTAGTCTGGTCACAAGATCCGAAACACAGGAACCGAGGATCGTTTTCAGATTGGTTAAGGAGGTTGGAGACAAGGGCAGTCCATCAGACTGAGAAAATTAGGCTGGGGTTCGGTGTCGGCCCAGAATCAGGACATGGTGGCGTGCTGGGTACCAGACTTTCCAATCTTTCCGGAGGGGTGCAGAAATGCAAAGAGGATTCACGTTTATTTGAAGTGACCCACGCAGATATGAGGATCGGGGTTTGCATTCAGCCAAACCATCTAGGTCCCCCCGGAAAAAAAATCATCTGCTTAACATATATGATTGATAAGAGCAGGCGTACGGATGTCACATTTTCAATATGGGTTACAGCTGAATGACCTCAGGGGCATTGCACAATCCAAACGATTTCAGAAATTTTCTTCTCTATTCTTTCACACTCTAGTATTCTATTTGGTAATTCCATGTGCCCCTCTTTTATGGTACATGTAGAATATCTCTAATTATACAGGTGTGTGAACAGGTGTGTAGATGTGTGTGCAAGAATATATGTGTGTTTTTGTATATGGGTGTGCTTCGTGCGTATATATGCATATGAATGTGTGTGTTACTTTGAACATGTAAATTCATACGTGTGTGTGTATACCATGTACATAAGTGCATGTGTGTGCATGTGTATATGAATGTAGATCTTGTGCATATGATGTGTGTAGTAGTATGTGTGTGCACATCTGTGTGTATGTGGGCTCATGAGTCATACGTGTGTACACGCCTATGTCTGTGTGTATATTCGCATAAATTATAACCAGACTAAGCAGACTCCCACATAATGATTGAACAAGGCTGGCCTCACAGCAGCTCTCTGATTCCTGTCCATTTAGTCATCTCAGAGAGAAGGGACTTCACAGGACGGGGTAACTAAAAGATCCTGGACTTTTCCAGAAGTTTTTTGGTTTACCTCGAGTGAAATATCCAGGAAAAGAAGCTCACAGCTCTGTGCTCCTAGGAAACTGACTTAAAATTCCTAAGCATTAAAACGGGTTTAATGAGGATCCCATGTAGCCTGCGCACCTCACAGGCCTTTGTGAAGATCCCAGAACATCTCAAGTACAAAAATGCGTGTTTCTAAGGCATGTTTCCAAAGGATAGCAGTTGTTATTAATAACCTTCCCTGATCTCTTCCCATGGAATTTACAGATGATTTATGATTCTGTCAAATGCGCCCCACCGCAAATTCTCCAATGCGCCCCACCGTCGAATGGAGCTGCAGTCCTAACAGAAGCAGGACTTTGATTACCGAAGGATTCCAGCAGGTTTCAGGAGCAGAGTGGACCCGCAGGTAAGCCAAGCATATCGAGAGCCAAGGGGAGACACTTGACAACACACACATGCACACACGCACACGGCAGTGACACTGGTTTGCTGGAGAACACTGCAGTGTGCTTCTCAGAGCTTTTCAGAGTTGACTGGTTAAACCCCGAGTACCATCATCTTTAAAAACGGGGCAGGGATTTCACACGCTAAGGAGGTCAGTAGGAATCCCTTTCAGCTGTTTTTGTTTGGATGGAAAAGGGGCTCCGGTTCACAAGAGCACTTGTCAAGCAGCGTCAAACCCTAATCCGAGATACAGAGGTAAGTGGCATCCTGAGCTAGGCTTTGATTTCTCTTTCAACATTTCCAACATAAAAAGATACTGCCTGTTGGGGGTCAGAAGCCAGGGCTGGCCTCTGCCAACAAGACTGGGCCCAGAGCTGATCATTCAGCCAGATCAGAACAGCGCTGTCCATTCCTCCAAGACGTCACACTGTCCATTCCTCCATGACATCACGCCCTTGCAAGGGCTGGTCCTTGTGCCAGGGAAGCCTTACCTCCTGATAACCTCATCCAAAAGCAGAACACCATTCAAGAGCCAAGTTAGAGAGGAAACACACGGGCATCTGGGTCACAGCCTCAGCAGTCAGCAGCTATGCGCCCTGGGACTAATGACCTAAGCTATCTGAGCTTCACTCCTTCATCTGTGAAATGGGGGAGGAGGTAAGTGCCCACCTCAAGGGAGGACTGAGTTAGGTGATGTGTGCAAAGCGATGAGCAAGGTAGTTGCCAACAAAGTTCTAATTAAATATCACATCGCTATGAGCTTTATCCAGTGCCCACCCCAAGCGGAGTTTTTCCTCCTTCCTGTGAACACCAGCACCACGTTTTCCAATCCTCGAATCCTCACTTGGTCCAACAATTTCAGGTATTGGTCAAATATTAAAGGCATTTGTGTAGGCAGCTCATTTCGCCCTGAAAGTTGCACCCAATAGCTTACTCGACATTCTATCCCACTTGATGGCCAACACATTGTTTTTCACACTGAAGATGTAAGTAAATATCTATTGAGTGAATACTGCCCATAGTTTAAAGGGGGGATTGGCCATTAGTAGGTGACAGAAGGTGACACAGATCAATTCTAGGTAGAATCTTCATCTGGTTATTCAGCATCAATGGCTGTTGTCAATGCGGGGGCGGGGGGTGGTAAGATTCGAAAACTGGACCCTGGGACTTCCCTGGCGGTCCCGTGGTTAGGACTCTGAGCTTCCATTGCAGGGGGCATGGGTTCGATCCCTGGTCGGGGAACTAAGATCCCACAAGCCAGGCGGTGTGGCCAAAAACAAACAAACAAACAATAAAACCCCCAAAACCTGGACCCGGACTTAGGATACCAGTGCAAGAGGCTAGACAGAATGTGATGCACATGTGAACAATATATTAATATTTAACCAAACATTAATATACATTCAAATATGGGAAGGGATGCCTTTCTCTAAATATTTGTAGAGGGGGACTCCATCTGTGTCTGCTCTTCTGTGAATAATGGAGCAGACACTGGGGGCTGTTCCAGGGGGCACAGGACCAGGAGTGGCTGAGGCAGAGCTCTGGCTGAGAAAAGGGCCCCTTCTTTCCTCAGGACAAGCTCTCGTGCACTGTGGCCAGCTGCATGCCTCCACGGCAAGCCTCTTGGTACCAACAGCTCCCAGAAGTGAGTCAGGAACAGGCCCCGATGTTTGCCTTAGGCTTGTTCAGCCAGGTGACCTGGCTGCCACGCTCTGCCCTCCACCATGGACCACAGATTACTTAGGGACTCTGACATCCCACGTTTACAAGACAGAGAACCAAAGGGAACATGTGATCCGGCGTCTCATTTGAACAGACTCAAACAAACTGACTGATGAGCCCTATTCCTCTGCTGTTGAAATGCTTACTACACTCCAACCACAATGCTGAGGCTCAGGGCAAGTCCACCAGCTAAGGCTGCCCTCACGGAGCTTACAGGGAGGCACAAAGCCAGGTACACTGGTGTAAGGTGGCAGCCGCGAGAGCTGCTGCAGAGGAGGGGAACGATGGCACTCTGACCTGGTAACGGAAGGAGGGCTGGCATCAGAGGTGAGGGAACCCCAGCGAACGGCCCAGAAACCCCAGCGCCTGAGCTAGTTCAAGAGGAACTAGGGAGGAAAAGCAAGCCAGGCACAGGGAACAGCCAATGCAAGGTCCGATGTCTACAGGGTCCAGGGCATAATTTCTAGTTTGGGGGTGTTCAGAGGCTCAGCCAACTGTGGTGGCTTCCCTAAGAAAGGAAGTGGAGAATTCTAGCTGCTCTTTACAAACCGCCCAGGGTAGGGACTGCTGGTTTTCACTATGGGCAACACCTGCACAGTTTGGAGAGAAACGAACCAGAGGGTGAGTGATCTACCTTCACAATGACTCTGAAAAACTAGGAACCGAACGGCCATCCTCATTGGCCGCATGAAACAAAGCCACTTGATGGGCTGCGAGTTTCATCACGATACTGTGTGATTTTTTTCCTAAGTCATAGCACGAATGTGATCGCCACGAGCCCTCACACCTAGAGAGCGATTCCTCTGTGTCCGTCCCTAGTCTGATCTAATTATCATTATCCCACCTAATCCTCAAAATACCCCTATGAGACGGATAATGTTATTATAGCCTCTTTGGACATCAAGAGAGTGAAACGGAGAGAGCTAGGTACTGACGAAGAAGCTGGGATTCTAGCCCAGGTTGTATTGGCTTCACAGCCCACATTTTTGTTTTGTTTTGTTTTGTTTGTTTGTTTGTTTTTGGTACGCGGGCCTCTCAGTGTTGTGGCCCCTCCCGTTGCGGAGCACAGGCTCCGGACTCGGAGGCTCAGCGGCCATGGCCCACGGGCCCAGCCGCTCCGCGGCATGTGAGATCCTCCCGAATCGGGGCACGGGCCCGTGTCCCCTGCATCGGCAGGCGGACCCCCAACCACTGCGCCACCAGGGAAGCCCCCACAGCCCACATTTTTAATTGCCATGGCAGGCAGCAGTGGTCAAACTTCAGCAGGCATCAGGACCACCTCGAGGGCCTGTTAAAACACAGATGGCTGGGCCCCATGCCCAGCCCAGAGGTTCTGAATCAATCGATCTGGATGGCGGGCTGGGGAGGTTGGGTCTAAGAATTTGCATTTTTAACAAGTAACGGGATGCTGACACTGCCGGTCCTAGGACTAAGAGGCTTATAACCCTATGGAGCACCAACCTCCACGTGTCATTTTACTTTACATTTGAGACATCCCTGAAGGTCAGCTTCCTAGGTCCTATTCTAAATAGGAGCTGGTTATAGGCAAGCTCTTAGAAAGTCCGCTGTTGGTTTTCGAGGATGGATCCAAATATTTTTTTAAAACCCCACTAAACAGGTGCATATGTGAAGGGAAAGGAGGGCAGGGGATGATGTCTAATGCATAGCTATCGATAAATTAGCCACATCCCAGTACAAGAGAAGAGAGTTGCCATCATGCATTGAACAGGTCCAGCCTTATTTTAATGCAGAGGCAGTCTGTCTAGCCATGCAAAGGTAATTGTAATCTCTTCGGAACTGCAATATGCTTTTGCAAGAGTGTAATGCAAATGCACATCT